TATGTCATATTCACAAAATTTTTATAGTAATCCTCTACTATATTTCTAATAAAAAGATTTAGCCAATGAATTGGATTCTTCATAATCAAGGGACAAGAGTTTCCAACAAGTGACACTCTTAAGACTAAGAACATGATTGACTCTGTTTAGACAAAACGAAAATATAACAAATTGACTTCCGTGGTCAGTGAAGAACAGGCGTTATTTTTTCGTTCTTCACGTGTCAAATATATACAAGGATTACATGGCTTTATTGATTGCAGTCATTTGAGTTTGTCTTTTGGTTCACTGAATTCGTGTCTTCAAAACTTCATTTGTATCATTGAATTAATTACTCATTCATTCACATCCATATGCGAGAGAGTTTTGTTTAAAGTTATACTGTATGCTAATTTTTTTAACTCGTGCAACGCTTTAATTTTTTTAACTGTATTTAATTTTATTAATGATTTGAGTAATTCAATATTAATTTTCTTTTACTAAAAATAAAAAATCTTGAATTTAAGTTACATGGTATACTGGTAAGGTAGGATAAAAGAGGGAAAGAGTTGCCTCCTTTTGTGTAACCAATATTAAAAAAAAAAATTGTACTTAATTTTTTATATTAAAGTTTAGATTTATATTATATTTTATCAACTTTTAAATTATGCTTTATTATAAATTATGTAAGAATAAAGTAACTTTAAAATTGCACTTGGACCTTCAGACCTAGTGACAATAAAGCCACGTTATAGTGCATTATCCATCTTTTGGGCAACGGTTCGAATGTAACCCTTATAACATGTTAAAAAAAAAAAAAGTAACTAAAAAAATTTTTTTTTTAAAAAAAAAGAAAAAGCAAGCAAGCACTACTAGAATTAGGATTTTTTTTTTTTCTAATAAGTGTTTTAATGATTTTATAAATAACTAGGATTTATATTAACTTTTTTTCAAGAGCTTAGGGGGGCCTGGCCAGCTGGCCCCCATACGCTAGTTATCCTCCGTCCCTGGAGGAAATAACAGAATTTGTTCTGCCTATAAATAGTATGGTAGAATAAAAGCTGAATTTGATCAGAATTGCTTCTAATGAATTCTTCTTATGATGAAGTTTGGTCTCTTCCCACGTTTGCTGAGTAGCCAAACAATATCTTATTAAATTGTAATAGTAATAAGCAATGTAATAATTACATAATTTAATATTACTTTTAAAATAAGAAAATTAACCGCTGTAATTGGGCATTTTCTTACTCTTTTTCTTAAATAATTATCCTTTTTACTTTAAATTTATTTTAAATTAATTGTTATATTTTTTATTTTTTAAAATAAATAAATATTTTTTATTTTAATTATATTATTATCTATTCATTTTAATTAATTTTTCAATTAAAAAAATGTATCTTTTATTTTTTTAAGGGTATTATAAATAATAGCTTTTCTAACTTGTGTCCTGAATTAAGGACACATGTGAAAGATATAATTATTATATATTTTTCACATTAATTAGTATTAAAAAATTAAAATTGATATTTATTTAAATAATTTTTCAATTAAAATAATTTACGTGACATTAGAGATGAAAATAATGACATTTTTTATATTTTTTAATACTAATTAACAGGAAAAGCGTGTAATATTATATCATTAACTTATGCCATAAGGGGATGTATTAAAAAAATTTTATAAATAAATATTAATATTGTCCTCAAATCTTTAATTTAAAAAAAAAATAAAAACAACAATTATTTTAAAATAGAGAGAACAGTATTTTAGTGGGGTTAATTTTCTATTTACTTGAAAGATTAAGCATTCTAACTTTTTGCACTCCTAAATATGGATGAAAACTTTTCTGATTTCCTAATCAAAGGATCTCAACTTTGTAAAATTTAGAAACCAAGGATAAAGTGGATGGAAAATTGACGAGGGCATTTAACACCTTAATGGATTCCATAATAAATGTTAACCTGGACAACATACAAAAAAAGAATAGCTGACATTGACACTAAGAAATAAAGACGTGGACAAATATTCAAATAAAAAATAAAGCCAAATTTATTATTTAATTAAAAATAATTAAAATTAAATAAAAAATTTCTTCAACCCTTCCTTCTTCGTATTCCTTCCTTTACAGTTTCCCCTTATTTAATTGGAAGGAAGAACAGAAAGGAAAGGAAGGAAAAAGGTTGAGGAAGAAGATGAAGAATTTTGGGTTTAATTTTAATTATTCAAATAAAAAATAAAGCCAAATTTATTATTTAATTAAAAATAATTAAAATTAAATAAAAAATGTCTTCAACCCTTCCTTCTTCGTATTCCT